TGTCTTACTTCCCGCTTGACTAGCATCCATCGTCTTATGAATTTCCAGTTGACCTCCAAGTTTAGCTGATTTGATATAGTGTGTTCCCCATCTCTGGATAAAATTTTCTGTTTTTCAGCAAAAAGGAAAAAATCGAGACTCACTTCACTGGAAGCGGACCAACATCGCAAAGCAACGAAAACAACAAGTGCAAATTAAAATTTATGTCGATTAAGCATAGTTTGTTCAACTTACGGTACTTTATTGGTGCTCCTGCATCGAAGTATGACTTGGGGAGGCTCATGAACTCTCGCAGAAACGTTAAGCTCAAATCTTGAGGTTTAACTTCGTCCATGAACACTTCATACCTTTCCATGGACAATAGCAATGAAATTTGCTTCAGTTAAGTAAAACGCAATATTTTTGTTTATTGGCAGTTTGTATGTTTTGTTCGCCTAGGGATGAATAAAATTTCTCCCTGGACATATTATTTGAATTATTTGTCGGTGAAATTTCCGGTACCCACCTGTCCACATCGACATCCAGCACAGACATGTACTGCTGCTTAGCGCCCGACTCGGAGCTGCCCCAAGCCTTCTTAGCGCCGGCATAAAACCCAAAAAACGATTCTGACACACCTGCTTCCTGCTGCAAATATTTCTGGAATTCCCTTCGGCTCTCGGACGTCTGCATTGTGGCTGAGGTATCGTAAATTCCATGGACGTTCATGGTGTCTGGTACATCGTACTCGTCGTAACTGAAACGGCCGTAAGGTAACCAGTCAAGTATAATAATATATGTTTTATTGACCAAGCCTAAGGGCATGACTGGAAGATTTTTGCCAAGTTCAACAGACAAAGTCGAGGTCCATAAAAACGCAGCAAGGAAAAGGTCAATGTCGTGCTAAACTGGCTGAATATGTTAAATCAATAACTGACATATAACATGACAAAATTATTTTTCGACAGAATTTCCGAAAAAAAATCGGAAGCTCTCTTTGTTTTCATGGCCTGAAGACGTCTTTTAGACTCTTGTTGCTGAAACTGCCAGAAAAATGTTCTCAGAAGTTCCTTAGATGCTTCCAAATATATATGGCCACTGAAAAAAATTTGTCTTTTTCAGAATCAAAGAGGGCAATACTACGGCAGCGAGATAGACCACGTAATAAAATCAGAAAACGATTGGTACAACCTGTGAATCAATGACAACTTTACTTTACTCATTTCTTTGTCTTTCGTCTACTGTGTAACCATGCGGTTAAAATTTTATAATCTTATCTGTACATGTTCATATTCACGTTGCCTTGTTTTTGCAGTTTCGTTGCACAATACTCATTTTTCTTGACTGCGGACTGTACTCTCCGCGACCATCAAACCCAACGCTAAGAAAAGCCGCCCCATCAATCATATTCTGACGGTCAAGAAATGAGGAAACATCAAATGTTGAAAGGTAGTAAGGAAATTAACGGCTATTGTATCTTTGCAACCGTGGATAAAGACAGATATCACCCAAAACGCCCTCTTGCCTGACTGTGATATGTCGAAAGTTTAATCACTTGCCTCTGAAGAGTATGCGAGAAATTTGTCATTGGTGATCAAGGGTAAAAATATTGAGATTTCTCACTAAATAAACGATACCGGAAGGGGTCTTTTCCTCAGAATGAGGAAAACGAGCTACCTAGAAAACGACGCTACTCATGAAAATGGTGCTCCTCAAATAATAATTTTAACCAAGCTTACTTTCCATGGTGAGATAGCATGCAAGAACTCATTCAAAAGAGAGACCGAAAAAAATGAAGACAAATGAACAAAGGGGGTAAGTTTCTAAAGAAACTGTGGTGCTGCGTTCGTGGAAGAGTATATATAACAGGGTAATTTAGTATTATCAACTGAGTTAATAGCGTAAATTGGCCACCGTAAAGAGTTTAAAAGCTGAGCCGGGCTTCGGGCGTTCGTCGGAGCGATTGACGAAGGGCTAACGTTCGAAACGTTACCTTTAAACTCTTTACGGTGGCCAATTCATCATCAGTTAATACTAAATTACCCCAAAAAAAGAGCTAAAGACGTCTAGTAAAAGAAGAAGCCTGACCACTTCACACCTGGCAGACACTTGATGTCCATTTTGCGTTATAACAACACTTGCTGTGTAATTCTTTCCCCAGCATCCATTCATCATCACATATCCCAAACCAGTAGCTTCAGCATATGCATAGGGAACATCTCCGACTTCTTTATCATCCTTCGTTACACCCGAAATAGATGCTCCCAGGTGATAACCAGGGGGTACAAACATATCAGGTGTGCTCCATCCTTTATCAGGCATGATATCCAACTTGATCTTCAGATTGATAAAAATGCAATGTTTTATCCTTTACCTCTAAGAGTGACTAGCATCTAATTTCTCCTTACAGATTTAAGCTAAGAGAATTTCTCCTTACACATTTTTAAGTTAAGAGAATAAATAAAATGATCACCAACCAAAGAAGCTTTTGACTGTTAAACAAATTCTCCTTAACTGTCCACCCCTTGTTTAGAGATCAGTATGGAGAATATGAATTCTAAGGTTGAGTGCAGCCTCAAGAAGAGAACCTGACAGTTATACGCATCCATTTCAGATTTTGATCACCCCGTCACAAATAGGTCCCAGTTGGGTAGAAAAAAAAAGATATTGTATTTCCATTATTTGTTTTTTTCCTGTGTAATCTCTGCTTCTCCTAATCTTCCCTGTTGATTTTTCCTTGAAAACATCCGCTGGCTTTTTTTCCTATACACTCCTTTGCGAAGTGGAAAAAATTATTTGCCTTATGCGTTTGATTGTATTTCAGAAAATGGTGACCAGCAGATGGCATCGAAAATATTTTTCATATGATGTTGAATTACTAATCTCAGAGGAAAAAATAAAGTATCTAAGCATGAATATACCATTAGACGTTTTATGCTCACTGGGTTCTCTGATATCGCATTACATGTTCACTTTCAAATTGTTTCTAACCTCTCTGGCTAAAAATCTGGAGGCCTTCTCTTGTGCTTCATCAATAATTTGGATTTTTCAAAGATTAGGAAGACGCGGGCTCACATGAATAAACTCAGTTCTGGAAAAAGGTTTTGTGCAGAGCATTCGCCACCCCCTAAACACAGTGTGTCAGCATGTGAAAGTTACTGATATTCATTGTTCTCTGGCCATACATGTTGTTCACCATCTTTGAAATGAAAAATTTTGACGTATTTCGGGGAGGGCAAAATAATTATTGTGTCCTAAGGAATAGTTTGATATATTTTAAGACTTAATAACTTCTAAATTAGATGACGAAATGTGTCCCACTGAACTAGAGCAGTACATGGCGACCGGACATCCTTTTGTCTAACGCTCTAAGGTGAAAAGAAGAGAATGAAAACCATTTTCGCTGAATTTTTAGTACTAATCTTTATAAAGTTCTATATATGGATTTGGAATAGCTACATGAACCTTAACTGAAAGCAATGAAACAACCGGACATGAATGGCTGATCAATTATAAATAGCACTTGATTTTTTTCAAACGGCCACCAATGGGTTTTACCGGTGTTGTTCCCCTGATACTTTTTCTATTATTGCCATTTCTTTTCATTTCCTTTGTATTTCAAAATTTGGCATAGGACGTTATTATGATAAAATTTTAAGACTAATACTTATCTCTTTTCGAACTTGATCTTTTTAGAATAAGTGTTATCTATGTTTAGTTGACACATACTGGGGAACGGAATGCAAACACATATAGACACGTTCTAAGCGATGTTACAAGAGTATTATTCAATTGTCATGAGTAAAAGGCAACAAAACTTCAGGTTAACACAGAAAAAATAATCGAACAAAATCTCCGCTTAGTCATCATTTGTTGCCTTCGTGCATCTTAATTTATACTTATTGCCGAAAACAAACCAAAAAAATGTCAAATGTCAACAGAATTTTGACATGAAGACTAAGCAACAGAGTAAATGCCTCAATGCGATCTTCTAGACACACATTCACCTACCATACACCTTTATGCGCGGAAATTACGTAATGCCGTATGTATCATCGATTGCATTTCTTTGCTTCTTTGCTCCACTAGGAATTTAAGGCAATACAATGTATTCGATAACCTGTCGGCGATATTTCTTTCAACTTTGAATATCTTCCGGTACATATCCACAGGCGAAACTCGCTCTAAAAATTGATTGGGACTAACATACGAAACGTCGAGGGAAATACCGGCAGGGGAGAATCGAATCACCGAACGTTACCCTTAGTCGGGAAAATTTGGTGTCATGTCAAATTTAAACATCGAGCATAACCGAAAACATCCGTTTGATTACTGACTTTATCAATAAAGGGCAAAATTACTGAGCGCTGATTGGTTGAGAGAGAGGGCATTTTTTCTTAATCGAGGGCATTTTTAGTAATCAAGAGAGGGCATGATTACCTGTTAATGATTGGCTAATCCGTTGCATAGCAACCGTTCGTTATCTTGAAATTTGTTAAAACTAGACTGCGCGCGTGATTTTCCTTCGTATAAATTTTGCCCTTTATTGATAAACAAGTAATCCCATGAGACCTCTTACTATTAAGGATAAATTGCACTTGAGTTTTCAAAATTTTGGAAAATTTTGAAAACTCTCGTGCAATTAATCCTTAATAGTACTTGGCCTCATGTGATTACCTATACAAAGTGGACGCTTGCGTGCCCTAACGAAGTCTTTTTTGGAAGTCTGACAAATTGCAAATTTGTGGCTAGAAATATGTACTCAGGGTCGCGTTTTGCTTAATCTTTGTTATAGATGCGTTTTGTACCTAATCTAGAGTGTGAATTAGGCGTTGAAAACCAAAAGAAAATCCTAGAAACCCAGACAACACTTAATCGATGAGTCAGTCACGTTTGACCTTTAACATAATTCTCGATGTTATCAGAAGTAGAAAGGCTTTTAATTAAATAAAACAGTTTATCTAAGCTTTAAGAGGCTTTTCCAATGTATCTTATTACTGTTGCATATTTATTTGATTTCGCTTTCAACGAAAATGAAACGCTTGAGACAAAGAAAACAAGAAGTATCAGTGTTCCGTCGTGTTAAACCGCTGTTTAGCGCAAATGCGTTCCGAGGATGATCAGTTTCTATCTCAGTGAAACTGAAATTTGACAACGTTTTTGTAGTAAATAGCTTGAAAAGAAAAAGAATCTTCGCTGCGAAGATTGCTTTCAGCAAATTATAATCCTGAGGTAAGGAAGTAGAAAGAATGTCATTGATTGGCAAGGATCCCTGTGACAACACATCGGCTCCAACATATCTCTCGTTCTCTACTGCGTCTACATCGATTTTTATCACCGTTGTTGCTTCCGTTGGAAACTCGTTGGTTGTCCTTGCTGTGTTATTGAACCCAAACAAAGATCTGCGTTCGCCGTTTATCTACTTTTTGGTGAATCTTAGTGTAGCAGACCTCGTCGTTGGTCTCGTACTTGGCCCTCTGAGTACAATGTATCACATCTTTGAAGGGGTCGGTACGCTTAGCCAAGGTTTTGAAGACGTGGTGCTCATTATTTATTTTATTTCATGTACAGCGTCCCTTCTCAGCCTTATAGCCTTGGTACTAGATCGTTATTGCGCTATTACGTATCCTCTGCAGTACAGAGCCAAACTTAGCCCCATCAGAACTTTATTGATATCCGTGGTGGTATGGATTATCTCAGCTCTGCTTCCGATGGTCTACTTCATTATTGGCTACAACAAATTCCGCTTTGTATTTGCCAACACTGCTATAGCTATCACCTTCGCTGTCTTGATATTCACCACTACCAAGATTTTCAAGTATCTGCGTTGCCAAGTACGACAATGGGACAGTCTGCATGACAGCTCAGAGGAGAATTTGGCTTTGAAACGAGCGGTGAAGTGGGAGGCTAAAATAACGAAAACGTTGGTTATCATGCTAACTCTATTTTTAGCCTTTTATCTGCCTTCGTGTATTTGTATCTATATCATAAACTTTTGTACTAGTTGTGATTGTGTGTTTATTCATTGGGTCAGAGATATCCAGTTTGTTCTTGTGATGGCCAATTCAGGGGTAAATCCTTTCGTGTATGCGTGGAGATTAGAAAATTTCCGCAAAGCTTTCAAGAACATTCTGAACTGCCATGCTTGTTTAAGGCGACTGAGGTCAGTTTCGCGTTTGAATCTACAATTATCGTCTGTAAACACAGACGTCTCCTCTTACAATTCCGCTGGACAAAATGGCAATCTAGAGGAAATAAAGCAGGCTTAGGAAAGAATATGATTAACTTATAACAAGAGGCTATGTTAGACGATAAATTCTGGAGTAAATTGAACTCCCGGCCTTACAATTATATTGTAAAATGTACAATGTTGTGATTTACAACTGGCCCTTACGTTTTTGCCAAAGCTGTGATGTATACGAGTGGTAATTACAACCAAAACTAAGAACTATTTCGTTTCTTGAATTTTTCAGTATTTTTCACGGGTCAGCTCTTTTTATCGGCAAGCCAGAGGATTAATGTTGACAAAAGGTGCCATTGAGATTTAAAAACCGAAATTTCGGCTATGCATGATTTAACCAATTAAAAATAACAGCCTGGTGCGCAAACAATTTGAAAATTTAAAGCAAACTAAAGAAATTTGTATTCATTTGAATTATTAATTTACTTTTTGTAAACGAACACCCCGTCATTAGTATATTATTAAGCAATTATGTTAACCGGATCACTTACAAAAGAAATGCAATTAGGGAACCAAGTGAACTGGCAAAAACAGCCTGAAAAGAATTGCAATTGCGGAAATTAAACTAGCTTAGTAATATCGTTTGATTTTCATTCTGAGCGAACACTAGAAAGTTGCATTGCTTTTATAGTGCTAACCAATTCATTGCTATGCTGTTATAGCTACAACTTCAATTTCAACTTTAATTTCAGAACAATATCAATTTAAAGTGCAGGCTGAGCCGCATTTAGCTGAAAAGGGCTTGTCGAGCAGATTCTCTGTAGAACGATTTGGCTCTGGTTTAGCCTACCTTTTGTGAGAGATATGGGAATAATAAATACTTAATAAGAACTCAGTGGTAAACTGTTGATTTGATGTTTCACATCTCATGCCAAGATTCGAGAACGCTATGTAAACTTTAAGGAATTTATTAGTGAGTAAGGCTCTTGTCACATACTTTGGAGCTTTTACATTGCGTGAGAACTGAGGTCCCCTTCAACTGTAAGACATGGAAGGGGGGATGGGTGATTGGGGATGCGGGTGATAACGTGACACTCCCCACATCCCTCTTTATTTTGTTTCCTTGTTTCCTTACTTCTAGAAGATTTTAGCATATCGCTGGAAATGAATTCTTTTATATTGTGCGCTCTGGAGATATTAAAGGAGGTATGACTCACGATAAGTATTTTCAACTGTTATTTGGTAAATAAGGCGGTTAGGTCTGCCTGTATATACTACTTCATGCAATAGGGTTGTAATTATTTTTAGTAGCTATTTAATCAGTCAATCAGTTAATCAATTCCTGTAGCTCTTGTTGTTCATTCTGCCGTTTTCTTCATTATGGGATGGATATGAATACATAGGAGGGAGTTCCTCTTCGTTTCACGTTAAAGGGCTGTTTAGTTGCCTTAAATTCCTCGTCCTCGCAGAGAACTTGGTCAAATTCATAATTTTTAAATTGCGTCTTCTCCCTTTTCAAGGGCTCCTTGTCTTCCAAACAAGCAAACAGATGGAGAGGAACACCAAAATCGAAAAGGAAGCCTCGAAGATCAGACAAAAAGGGGATCGATAACATTTTGAAATAAGTTCGCACAGTGAACAATATTTTGACTTCAATTGATGACTGCGTTGCCGATGTTCACAGCTCAGTCGAGGAAAGAAAAGATATAATCAAGAACCGCCAGAAGCTGATCAAAATTGCAGTTAGAAGTAAAGGCGGCGATACGTGGCCCATAAGTAGGAATCAATGGTCTCGCATCGAATTCAGTTTGAACTCTGGAGAGCTGAGCAAATCTTGATGGCAAGCCTTGAAAGCTTCTTCTTCCAACCCATCCCCCTCTTCTTCTCCCTCGTTCACGTCTCTATACAACCCCCTCGAATCAGCGCTAGTTTACACTTTTGCGATCAACATTTAGGCTGCTGCAAATGTTTAAATGTGTAAACATCAAGAAACAAAAAGTTAGTCAAGGCGGCTTAGTCCTTTCTGACCTGGCTAGCTGAGCATCATTGAATATATGACGGTACGCCGACTGAGTTGGTAATTCCCCCAAGTAGCTAAGTTTGATGCGTTTCCAAACCCTAAAATCAGTACCTATATTTTCTATAAAAATAACTGTCCTCCATACATTTGCTATGATCATGAAAAGGAGTGTAGCAATCAATATCTTCTCTTGCCTATGATCATTTCCTTAATGACATTGATGATTGGGTCAAGAGTACACTGTGCGAGGAAATTCGATAATAGTCACTTTAGGGTTAATTAAATATTCGTATGGGTGTTTTTTCCCCTTGCATCAGTTACTTATCATTTATTTTACAAAAGTGAAACTTTGTTGACGTAATTAAGTGACGTAAGCCAAGAAAATATAAGGTCATATTTCTCCAATTTAACAGATTTTTTTGGATACCGAGGAAATGGGATATTTGACAATCAGAGGAAAACGAACTTAAAAAAACCCACCAATGTACAGAAGTATTGCAGAAAAAGTGGAAAGAACATCAGTGAATTTGGTGCTAGTACAATAGAAAATATTTACTAGTTTCAAAAATCCAATAAGTTTCTTTTCAGTCTAAATAAGGAGACAGTTACACTTATAAGTTATTAAATATTTGCTTAACCCATGCAAAAAAGGAAATTGAAAAAAGGAACCGTTTCATCATAAATAATTTACACATGAAAAGATATATACTCAGCTGGCTTAGGTTTAAAACTCATAAGATCATGAGGCATTGTGAAATTAGGCCAGAACCGTGAAAGTAAACGTTTCTCTCTTTTACCAGTTGTGTTTCTGACATTTTTGGTCATAGACTTCAACCTGCGCAACAAGCTCATACTTTTAATAGTATCTGCCTACACTAAAAGGGAACCTTAAGCTTCTTGCGAGGGAGAAAGTTGAAATAATGGTGAGCAACGAAAACTACTAATGTGCGGAGCTTACGTCCTTTGAAAGGGAAAAGAGTTGTTTTTTGTTTGCGAGGAAGTTAATTTTACGGAGGATTGAGCATGTTTCTATTCTTCCAGATCAAAAGGAAAGCGTTAAACAAGTTAGTTATCACAGTTTCTTTCCCTCTACTGACATTTTTGGATTTTGTATATTTTAATGCAAGTTGGGTTTTCGAGAAAAAATGAGAGAGAAAGAGAGAGACTCAAGAAATAAATCATTTAAGTCAAGCAATGACTTAAGGTAGACATTAGGAAGGAATCGAACAACATACAGAGCTGAAATGCCATGAGGTAAATGACTAAGAGAATACCTCAGATAACGCGATGAGATTTGCCCATTCGCTAGCATTGAGGCAAATTTTCCATGTTTTATTTTTTGCTCGTTCTGAAAATTCCATTTTTTTTTTAATTTCTAGAAAATTAGGTGCTTATGGTTAAAATAAGATTAAGGTCCACAAAAATGAACCTTTTTATTTAGTTTCATGTTTATCGCTCGCCGCTGAGGTTTGTTAATACGTGTCAGGCTAGATGGAGCGCAGAATACTTTAGTCGAATATGAATAAGGAATAGTTGAAACTTGAGGTTTATAAAAAATCAAAATGAAGGGATGGCATTGTAAATGTTTCTTTTCAAGCTAGAGTGGCTAGATCGATTCCCGGGTTGATACACGCGCATGCGATAAACACCAAACCAAAATAGGATCTTTTCTTTATTTATTCCTTTTCTATTCCTTGAGGCGTTATTATATCGAAGCGGTCAACTGAAATTATTACGTAAAGAAATCACCTAAGTATTATGATCATAGCTTTAAAATAATCTCGATTTTGGAAACGAGCACGTGTCAATTAAAGGAACCAAAAGAAAGGTAAAAATGAGCGATAAATTTTGGTTTGAATAACGACTACAAGCTAGAGAACATAATCACAAAACAAGTTATTGCTTACCAACGTTCGCGGGTCTTGATTACTTTATCGAGGATTACAGTCTAACTTGTCTTCTTTTCAAAAACGATCTTGATGACACGGAGTCTTATCTTGAACTGAAACGCTAACTGTAATTTTCTGTCAGAAAAGAACTAATCACGGGGGCGTCAACCTAACCAGAAAATATTTCGCAGCTTTTCTCGGGAGCGGTAACACTAAGCTTCAACGGAAGCAGTTACAGGCATCTTGATGCTGCATCTTTGTCTAATTTGAAAACACTTTTTTTTATTTTGGTTATTTATGCCTCTCTTATAGGGCTCCTAGCGAAAGCCGACAACTGCCAGCTTTTTTAATAACGTCGTATGTCGTACAACGTGGAACCATCGGAACTGAAATACATTTGAAAAAGACATTCTGGATCTGAAGTGGGAATTGAAGAATAGTGAGTAGAATTTTTTTCTTATATTTTTAAGTGTGTTTCATACAGGTAACTTTTCCAGAACATTGTGCATATTACTTGGTTAGAAAACGTGGTTTTGTCAACTTCGTGTCAACGTTGTATAATTGTGCAAAGTAAGGTATAGAACGTTATTATGATAAAAATTTAAGACTTAGACTTAAATGTAAGAGTGTCGATCGTAATCCCCCATTAATATCAAACAAAATTATGGACAAAAGTGACGTAGGAATGTCCGAATTGTTTCTCGATATGGAAAAGAAAATAATTTTAAAAAAAAGTTATGGTATATTCATAGCGATTGATACTTACATACACTTCTCTGATCAATCCAATGCTGTAAATGGCAAAACAACCGTGGTACTAAGTTAATGGTCGTAAAAAAAAAATATAAAGAACCTTGATCAGGTCTTGTAACTTCTGAGCAATGTAAATAATTTAATACGGGTTCATAGGGTCGAAATGGCTTTGACTCGATCTTAAAAGCGATGATTATCTCTTTTCGAACTTGATATATGCATAATAACTGTTATTCATGTTTGTCTGACACATACTGGGGAACGGAATGCAAAACATGTAAACGTTCTAAGCGATATTACAAAAGTATTATTCAATTGTAATAAGTCGAAGGCAACAAAATGTCAGGTTAACACAGAGAAAATTTGAACAAAATCTCCACTAGGTCATCATTTGTTGCCTTCATGCATCTTTTTTATACTTCTTGCCGAAAACAAACCAACAAAATGTCAAATGTCAACAGAATTTTATCATGAAGACTAAGCAACGGAGTAAATGCCTCAATGCTATCTTGTAGACACACATTCACCTACCTTTCACTTTTTTGCACGGAAATTGCGTTATGCCGTATGTACTATCGATTGCATTTCTTTGCTTAGCTGGTGTCTTTCTAGAAATTTAAGGACATACCATGTATTCGATAAAGGGGTAAGT